AATTGTGAATCTCCGAGGACTGTACGCACAAATTTTGTAATGCAAAATTCTAATAACCTGTAGCAGTGTGTGGGAGGTAACATAGTCAATCTTATAACTACTTGCAAAGATTATGTATTTGCAATTTAAAAATTACTTTACTATCACTTCACCGCATAAGACAAGGGGTATGCTATTGCTCTAGTAATTTTAGACTCTTCAAAAACATTTGACACAAGAATACCATCAACTTTTATATTAGCATAATTCGAATGTTTAGGTTTGAATCAAAAAACATTAAATTTATTTCGATGCTACTTAACTGATAGAAAACAAAAACATTTCCATTGCAAAAGAAATATCTTCATATAAATTTATCATTTCTGGTCTACCACAGATGTCCATTTTGGGTCCACTACTCTTCACTGTCTGCATGGCAAACTTTACAAAGATTGTTAAGGCATGGAAAATAATTACGTGATCAAACGAACTAACCTCTAAACGATGTTCGATCGTAATGGAGAAGTTTCGTGATATTCAGAATCGCATAAGTAATGACATACCAGCAAAATATATTCTAAAATCAGGCAGTGAAAAAGTTATTGAAATCGGCCACTAAATGACAGAGAAATTGTTACTTAAATTTGGCGCATTATATCGAGAAATTATAGCTGTCGTTCGTTCGAGTATGACGTCACACTTCTCTAGTGCCCAGCGTCTCGTCGCGTAGGTGTTCGACAGCGTCTGCGCGTTTAGTCATTACTATATGGACAATTCATAAGCCACACCTGTGCTCTCGGACACGTGGTTTCCAGTTGATAATTATTGAGTACTGCGTAAGTTCATACCATTATGGACGCCGCACGTGAAGGTACGTAGAAAAAATGTTTATTAGGGGTTGAAATTGTTGTGCTCGTACATTTTGGAACGATACAGTATTTATAACAACCTTTTTTTTCTTATTTCACTCATAACCGATTGTATATGCAGTTAACTAATTAAAAAAATTGAGGCGGAAGACGTTTAGCCTACGATGTGTCCCGCTGTATGTGTGCCTATGCATGTGTTTAGGAGATTGAGTCGGCTCGGGCCCAGGAATCGGCCGCTGACGTTACAACTTGATACTGAAGTGTGACGTCACACGTAACGTACAGACGGAATAAAAATATTCTTGCGGGGCGCAACTTTGATGAGCTTTACCTTTTTTGTTCTTAGAGATAAATTAATAATTTTTTCACCATCTTGATTCATTTTTCCTAAACTTTCATTAAAGTTGATAACAAAAAAATGGCCAACTTGTCCATTATGTGAAGGCCTCGTCGAAGTACATAGAACAGGTGTAGTTCCCCGTTTCCCGGTCAAACTCACAAGTTCAAAGCGCGCACCCGCGCCCACTTACCTTACTCCTCCCTGGCCCGTGGCCTACAAACTCTTATTTGATGCGCAGGGAGCGAGGGAGCTATTTACTTTGACGAGGCTTTCACACAATTAAGATCGAACATCACTTACAGGAAAGTTTCTTTGATCATGAAATTAAGTTCCGGCCTCGTCTCGTAAATGGAACAGGTGTAGATGTTCAAAAAGAGTTGCAATGACATCAATGAACTGTCAACACTGATGGAATCGCCCCGTCCCATTTGTACAATGAAACGATAATGCGGCCTACATACGACAGGTGTCCGAGAGAGAGATGGAGCTAGTCAGGGCAAAAAGCGCGCGTACTTGCATGAATTGCGTAGGAAACCGAGGATTCTTAGAGAAGATTTAAAAGTTATTCAGGCAACTGGAACGAGATAAAATCCTGGAAACGTAATTATAATTAAAAAACCAAGTTTATTTATTTATATATACATATGTATGAATCTTGAAGATAAATTCTCCTTTACACATTTGAAGATATAAAAATTAGTATTTAACATAAGTAATTAATAATTCAGGTAGCAAAGAGATTACATGTCTGCTTATAATTAACTTAACTGCTCTAATATGCTATATCTTACATATAAAAAATAAGAGATCTAAGAAATATTACAATAATTACATGTTATTTTATATATATCTTTATAATGTTACAAATAGTATTTATGCACATTTAAATTTATTTTTATAGTATTGTAGCTGTCAACACTAAATGTAGTGGGAACACGTCCAGTTTTGTAGAGATTAAAGTGTACAAAGAAAAAACCCTTATATATATGAATACAAAATATTTGTGCACAATGGCATTAACAATACTGTAGATGCACAGTTTTTCTTTATAATACAATATAGGTTATACCATAGTTCATTCTAGAAATTATGTCCCTGATAAAAAAATTAAATGGAAGTTTTAAAAGATCATTAATGAGTAGTGGGTTCATCTGTGAATTTATATGTTTATACCTAATTTAAAAATTGCTGATTCACTGATTTTTAAAATGAATCGTTTTTGTTAACCTTTGCCTAATTCTGTCTGTTATTTGATTTTTTGTGGAATTTATGTGGTGAAGCCGAATAGTGAAATAATTTTTCATGATAAGTCTGACCAATTGAATGATATGTCCATCAAGTGGGTCTTGCTCTAGAGAGTGCTTAGATAAACATAAAAAAACGTCGTTCCAATTTAAATTTCCCATTGCAGAACAGACCAATCTTAACATTATATTAGGATGAGAAAAGTTTGATTCAGTTTTTATTATACCTTCTGCAACCATACACATTTTTACAACAGCTTTTGTAGGCTTGATTAAACATATATTTTTCCGATTCAGCAGCATGCAATCAGAATCAGATTCAAGGTTTGAACAATTTTTTTGCTAACAAAACCTGCTATATATTGAACTACATCACAAATATATACACAATTTAAAATTTTGTTGTGATTGACAATATACTGCTCCTGCAAATGGGGGGAAAAATCTTCCTCAAATTCGTGCAAAAGATCAAGCAAGGGCTTTTCATTTTTCTGGAAGAGACATTTAAAATAGATGTATGATCCATAGCAAGGCAATTTGCACTTTCAGACGAAGCGATTTCGCTGTGAATTAATAACCACTTGAATGGCAGAATTAATAACCAATTCAAATGCCAAGCTGTTGGATTATTTGAAAATCCTCCTCTACTGCGTATTGCAGCAAAAAACATGTCCAAATGCTTAATTTATAGGCCAATAAAAAATTTAATACTTCACCTTTCACCAAATCCTCGAATAAGTTTTTCACACTAACTAAACAAATTATCAAGCCCAAAAAACCTGTTTTTCTACTGGTTTCTTATATATTAACACCTTCATAGGTTGTTAGTGTGCTTAAATATCTAAGAGAACTATTTCCAAAATTTGTTAGAAATTCCCCATTGCCCCTATACAAAGGTTTTTTGAACTGGGTGGAGCCAAAAAAGTTTCTTCCATTTAACGGATCAAATATATCATTTATATTTCTGCAGTGGCTTCTGCATATTGAAAATAACGTATATTTAAATCTTTTGCACAATATTCTAAGGCATCACTCACACTTGAACTAAATGTTTGTACTGCTAACTTTACTCTCATTTTTTCTTTGTAGTAGTTCAAGTGTCTCCTCCTCAGCTTGGTGGCGCAATGTAGACCTGTATCCTCTTGCAAGTTGACAAGCTGTTTGAAATATTCCCACATATCATTCCCTCCACCATCTTTTAAAACACCATAGGCACCTAAAGTATTGCGCACCAATTTAATCATGTGACAAGCATCTAATATTATATGTATTTTCTCATTATTGAGAGAGTTTATGAAAAAAGGCTTAGTACATGGAAAAGTCAAATTTGCACCTAATAAATTGGCCATAAGGATATTGGATGCATCACCATCAAAAGTCAAACTCTTAATTAGCATTCCAGTGCTTCCTAATTGCAGCCCCTCACAAAGGTAGCCTTTTCTTCTGCTGATGAAGATTGTGCTAGAAAATATGCTATTGAAACTTTCCATCAACTGTTAATGCAAACAACTATGAAAACTAAAGCTTTTGTAGCCTTTGGGAACTCCTCACTGCTTTGCATTGCAACACCCATATACATATATGTAGCCTACTAATCTACTTTCTGTCCAATGTACATGCTGACGAATATACATTTCATCCATCATCAAGGCACCAACAAGCTGTTTTCCCTTTTGTTTATCAACATCCACCTCAATTTTGATAGCACGAAGTGTTTCTGCACTACATCCAGGTGTACCATCTACAACACTATACCATTTTGAAAGTGTGCGTGGATGTGGTAGAACATTTTTTCCAAATATTTTTCTAACATAATTGTATGTTAATGTTGAATAAAAATTCAATGATAGTGCAAAACACCTTAATTCTGGGCTATACTTGTTAGATTTTCCTTTTTTCAACTGCCTGAAAAGCAGTTGCTTTTGGGTTTCTGGGAGACTTTCTTGTAAAAACAAAATGTATGCATGTATCATAATTTTAAGCTAAAAATTTCACGCACTAAATGTAAAACCTAAATACTGTGATGGTAAAAGGATCACTCTAGCTAGTAATCAATAGATATTCAACAGAGTTCAACAATTGAAATGAAAATTTTACAAATGACAATAAACAACAACAAGGTAACAATTGTAGCAGCAAAGTATCTGTTCATCAAACGTCTACCTTCAATACTATTCACTGAGCTGCAGATATTCTCTTCTCCTTAAGTAGTTCATCTACCAGACTATTCAGACTTTTTATTTTATTTCTTTGTCTACGAATTTTACACTGACTGTACTTGTTAATTTTTTTGTACTTATGAACAGTTTCATGAGCAGTTTTCCAAAATCTCTTCCGACGCTGCACATTATTTAAATCAGAAATTTTTGATTCTAAAAATCCTAGTTTTTGTGTTACGTTTGAAGGACCAGCTGCCAATATATTTCCATCATCAGCACGATCGCCATTTTCAGGTTCTTCTACTACTTCACCAATAGCCAAAGTTTGTTCTAAAAATAATTACGTTACTAAGACCCACTTCATCATTGTAAATATTTTTTTAAAAGTAGAAAAGTTAAAACCTTAAGCTTAGACTGGGAATATTTTAAAGAACATATCTGTTGCTTTTGAGTTCGATTCTTTATGTTTTCTTTTCAAAACCCTTCGATGGCTAGGTTCTTTCTTGAGATGGGCTGGAAAATCAAACACAGATGGAACTGCCACCTTTTTTAGTACCTTATTTCCATGAACACTAACTTCATAATCCTCTGAAGTGAAATGCTTTTCACAAATTACCGTTGTTGTACTGGGAGTAAAGTTTTCTCTTCTTATAGCATGTAACCACAACTTCCTCATGTTAGGATCTCTAGGTATCCTAAAAATCCAGATATTTTCTCGAATTACCAATTAACAGGTAATTCTCATACAAAAATGAATGAGATGATTAAAACCAACCTTTGAAACTTCATTTTCACATCTTTCCTGCGTCTATTGCAACAATTCACCGCACTGCAAGATTCAACCATTTTTAAACAAATATCACATAAAACAACAGCTCTTGAAGGCTGTCCGGCATAAAAATGTTTATAATAATTGTCGCAAACTATCACTATTAATCTTTAACGTCACTAAAAACAAACATTCACCAAAAATCCTTAGCACATATATCGAAATACGACAATGGACCACGATTTTTTGCCCTGACTAGCGCTATCCTTCTCGTTTTTCATTCTAGCAGCAATTAATTCGCGTTACGCCTGTTCCATCAGTGTTGACAGTTCATTGAACGACATACTACTAACGGTCTGCAATAGTAAACGAAGGGTGTACACAACTACACAAATTATACACAATGCATGTGTCAATTAAATTTACATTTCCACTGTAACAACTAAGGTCAGAGCTTTTAACAACAGGTATTACGTCGCAGATAGGTTTAAAGATAATACTATCTGCTACATGGTAACAAGCAAAGAACGTAATAACATTGTTGTGTTTAAGGTGTGGAAACTTGGTTTATGCCGCTTGAGCAAAGTTATTGTTTGGCATAAGAAATTTGTGAGGTGTCTCAGAAAACGCACTACAGCCTGCCGCGAGTCTGACCATACTGTAATCTAGCCGGCGCAGAGGTAGATGCCATTCTCTACTGAAACAGACTTTATCCATCTCATATGGGAACAGTGGTTATCGATGGACGCAGCATATGTGCACGGGGAGTCATTTGACCAAAAGGCCTAAATTGCTTCAAGGTATGGCTGAAAAGGCTTTGGGACGTTCCACGCGATCAGCATTTGGCTGTTGCTCTATGGGTGGAAGTCGCTGTTGGAAAAAGAGAGAGAGTTTTTCCGAAAACAGATTTTGCTCCAAACCTTTCGCCCGTGCCACCAACGATCACTTAGCAGCCATTATATTTATTATTATCATTATTATCGCATGTCCTCTCCTGTATTGGTGTTTGGTAGATGTGACCACTAGCGGGCTGTTTTGCCAATACAAATGAACATGCTGTTTAAGACAGGGTTTTTCGGAAGAGGTTGCATACTGATAGTATAACTGAGTGTTGCATTGTTGATATTAGGTGATTTAGTAAATTGAGTTCTTTCAAGTGTTCAATTACTGATTTTGGTACTAATCCTATTGTTGAAATTACTATCGGATGTGTTTTCACACGTTCTACTTGCCAGATTTGTTTTATTTCATGGGTCAAGCTTTGGTATTTTTGCATTTTTTCATTGTATGTCGTCTGTATGTTGTGACTATTAACTACCGCATAGTCAATGAGGTGAACTGTTTTCTCTTCCTACTGCCATAATGTTGTATCAGGCCTATTGTGCGCCACTTGCCTATCTGTGCGGATTGATCTATTCCAGTATAATGTATATTCTCCATTCTCTTTTACAGGTCTTCTATGCTGTGGATTTTGTATGCTCTGACTAAACTGTTCATTTTGCGATTACGGACATTTGTTACACATCGCAGTTCCGAAAGCCGAGACAGGTCCTTCCTTAAGTTCTGGATGTTAGCTTTTAGCCTGTCTTTCCATCCCTTACCGTTATTTGATTTTCTATTAGTGTTCGTTGTCGCTGGTCTTTTTATGATGGTTTCAGTTATTTTTCTTGCTATGACAACTCAAATAGGCTCAAACGGTGTTTATCCAAGAATCCTTCTAGGAATTCATTGTATTTCGTTATCTCTGCCTTCAGTTTGTGGTCCAACCTTAGCTTATTGAGTCTTTGTTTCGTAGTCGTGCTATCCTTCAAAAGCAACACGTACTCTCTTAAGACCTGTTCATATTCGCGGCTGCATTGTGCAGAGAAGGATTGCTCGTGCATGTTTTCTTCTTCATGTGCAACGGGGTGCATACTTGGCGAGTGAGTTTGAATCTCCTCCGCATTTGTTATCTGTGGTCCTTCATCTAGAGCGTTACCTTGCCTCTGATGATCTTTTATACTTCTTTTGATGCCGTCAATTTCGGTAGGAGATACTTTGCTATTCTTGATACAGTAGTTCACTTGATTTAAAAGCTTTTTCGCATCGATATGCGGCCTCACATTAGGGTTGCGGTTTCGCCAAAGGTGGTATACTTCTTTATAGTTTGCATGCGATGTCTGATGGCAATATAGGTGACACTACATGATCTCCCTTAGTTCTTCTTCAGTCCATCTAATCCTTTGTCTATGTATTTGTATTGTGTTGCTAGATGGTTCTCCACAGGTTTCCACTGAGGGTCCAGGATGAGAATCCTCGTTCTGGTCACCCCCAGATGGGTCTTGGGAAGGGTTGGAATTCTGCAGTGTTGACGTACCAACCCTGTTGTCATTGAGCTTACACTTCGATCAGCTGACCTTCGTGCAGGTGCTGTATCTCTATTAAATGTCAAATTGTCCCCCCCAGAATCCGAGGGACAGACCGCCTGGGCGGTGCAAGATTCTGAAGCTAAGCCTCTACTTGCCTGGGGTAGCGATACGTTTGTTTTATTTGACATTGTGAGGGTTATTACCAGAGCCCCGTTAGCCAGAATATACGCGCGCCGTTGTTATGCGTGCTTCTGCCCGCCTGACACTTGGAACTTACTATTTGGCAGGAGTTCCGGAAGAGGGGTTGGATTTGTGTGGGGCTTATTTATTATTATTATTATTATTATTATCATTATTATTATTATTATCATTATTATTAAAATTATTATTATTATTATTATTATTATTATTATTATTTTTTTTAACCCACAGTGGCATCGACAGCTATGGTCATTAGCCACTTCCCTGCTGCCTCATGAGGTCATTAAGTTGAACCTAGCATCTCAGGGATAGATCTGAGAGTTGGATAATATATAGAACGCACACAGTGACATACAGTATAAATAATTCATTGCATCATCCCATTCACTTAATTCAAGTATAGAGGTAAAACTGAGTGTTTACCATAGGTAAATTACTACAGCATTGAGTTTGTCCTGTTCCTAGTAAAATATTTGGTGTGCCAGACAGAATTCAGGTAAGTTGTGTTAATAATTCATTCTTATATAGGATTCATTGTTTTCTATATACACATATACCCACATATACATATTTTTCCAGATATTTATGTTGGAGCTAATATTTTAAGATTTTTATATTGCAAGATTTTTTGTTTAGATTTTGTGTAGCATATTTGTCGATTTCATGAAGTTCAGTAAGTTGTTTATGTTTCTGTCGTTTGAAAAGCATTCTTTCAGGTTTCTTGGTATAAAACATTCTAGGCGCTTAGAGTTAAATTTTGGACATTCCAGGATGATGTGTTCTACGGTCAGAGTGCAGTGGCATTCATCGCATAGTATTGGGCTTCGCCCTAGGAGAAGATGTGATGAAGTTAGGTGAGTATGTCCAATCTTTATTCTTGTAAGACAAACTTGTTCTCGTCTAGTTAGGCCTGTCGGATATTTCCATTTCTCGATTGTAGGTTGTAGTATCCTCAAACGACTTATACTTTGATTCCACTGATTTTGCCAACGTTGATGTATCTGGAGCTTGAAATGGGCTTTTAGGTCTTCAGGAAGTACGGTGCTCACGGGGGTTCCATTTTGGGTCGCGTATTATTATTATTATTATTATTACAATTATCAATATTATTATAATTATCATTATTAATATTATTATTATTATATTATTGCTATTATTATAATATATATATTATTATAATAATATTATTATTATAATAATTATATTTTGGTATTATTATATATTATTATATTATTTTATTAAATATAATAAATATAATAATAATAAATATAATTTAATAATAATAATTTAATAATTAATAATTATACCATACCATACCATACGATTTATTGACCACCTATACATAGAGTATATGTTTGAAGTCACAAACTAGATAAAGTTTATAGAGTCTGTCTTCTTGCTCTACACACGATCACTGATCACTAGGATCACATGCACTTAAATATTCACTTACAGTATAGAAGCAGTTTTAACAAATAGTTTTTGACAAACCTAGAGAACTGTTTGTTAGACATCTTCTCAATATTGGACCGCTTATGATATCTAACAAAGTTATTGTAAAGCGACACATTAATCTTATTGTGTTGTGTCATGGCGATCCTAGATTGCGGTAATGATATATCATTAGCGTATCTTGTATTATAGCTGTGTCTCTGATCTTATCGAAAAAGTACTCACTTTGCGTGAACATGTAAAAGGGTCTCATGTATGAGCAGGCATGCTAACGGCAGTATGCGCATCTCTTTGAACAAACCGCGGCACGTTATGATCGTAGGAGACGCCAGCTACAATCCGTATAGCAGCCTTTTGCATTGTAAATGCTTTTTGGGCATTGACAGAATTACCCCTGCGGATGATACCATACGACAGATGACTATGAATGAGGCTAAAGTATACAGTTCTCATGGTTTGTCTGTGCAAACACTGAGCCAGTTGCATGATAAACATCTGTCTGGAAATCTTGGTACACACCTGGTCCACATGCTCCGACCAGGTCAAGCGGCTATCCACAACGATCCCTAATAACTTTACGGATGATGAAGTCTCATTCCATTTGTCTGATGTTATTCTTAGCTTGCTGGTTTTCGCTTCATTAAGTTTGAGCTTGTTTGCGGAGAACCACCGCTTAACCTGGTCGAGACTGTGGGCCTGTCAAGTTGGGTAGCCTTGGAGAGCAGAGTAGTGTCGTCTGCAAAAAGGTAGCATTTGCTATTGTTGACATTTTGTGGGAGGTCATTGATGTAGTTAAAAAAATAGAGGGCCCAAACAGAGCCCAGGGGTACCCCGTTCGTAATCGGTAGAACCTGGGATTCTACTCCATCAAGGCTAACCATCTGTCTCCTATTAGCTAAGTATGATCTCATAAGCTGTGATGACTTGCCACGGATCCCATAGTACTCCAATTTGTCAAGCAGTATAACTGCGTCTACACAGTCAAAAGCCTTGGTTAAGTCACACATAGTTGCTAGAGCGGTGGTTCTCTTGTCAATGCACTCTAATGCATCCTCAAGAAAACTAAGCATGGCTTTAATGGTTGAACAGTGCTTTCGAAAACCAAATTGGGAAGCTGAAAGGAGGGAGTGCTTTTCAAAGTACTTTATTAATTTTTCTTTGATTACAATTTCGAATAATTTACTTATTAATGGAATTATTGTGATTGGCCTATAGTTATCGAGATTATCTTCATTCCCTTTCTTATGAATGGGAATGACCTTTGACAATTTAAAAGCATCAGGCCATACGCCTTCATTAACACACTTATTAAATAGTTGTTAAAGGTTCAATGAAATCCTCACTGGCTATTTTCAACATAGCACTGTTCATACCATAGAAGTCGAGTGAGGGTGAGTTTTTTAGTTGAGCTATAGCACATCTCACATCTGTTTGGAGTATCGCAGACATGAAGAACGAATGCGGTGTCTTGGGAGTACGGTTGAGGAATACAAGTAATTAATAGTAGGCTTTTCAATGCCCTCAAGAATTTTACAAGAAATAGTACTGAAAAAACTATTGAATTCATCACTTGAGACGTTTGTGTGTTTCTGTTTCCTGATGCCTTCTCGCTATCGACTATCTTCCAGATTGCTTTAGTTTTATTTCCGCCTGGTGTATCATTTCAGAGTAAAAGTTCCTTTTTTCCAATTTCAATTTTTGACGGTATATTCTACGTATATCCTTATACCTCTCCCAATCACGCTCATCCCCGCTACGAAAACTGGCTTTTGCGTTCACCATATCTTTCCTTAGCTGCTTCAGTGTCTGCGTATACCACTTAACCTTGTGAGCTGACTTATCCACAGCTTTTAACGGAAAACAATTATCGATGCAGTTTGATATTAAACGGTAGATACTATTTGCCATGTTATCTGCAGAGTTAGAATCTACATTCATGTCGGACGCCATACTATGGATTCTGTTGGCAAATGAAACCATTCTTTTTTTTAATAATGCGTCTTTTGGGCGGTTTGATTGAATGAATCTCATCTTGTAATATAAAAAAATCACAAAAAATTCCTAAGTGGTCGGAAATGTTCAAATCTATTGTCCCTGTCTCAATATTATCATTGTTCAAGTTGGTCAATATATTATCCAAACAAGACGCCGAAGTAGGTGTAACTCTGGTATTTTCATAAATACATTGACGTAAGCCAAATGAATTTGAAATATTACATAGGTGTGTCACTGTTTGAACATTACTGCTGAAATCTAAATTAAAGTCGCCACGTATCAATAAGTTCTTATGTCTAGAATAAATACTATTCAGTAAACTATTGAAGGCATCAATAAATAATGAAGGATTTCCTAAATAAGGAGATCTATAAACAGTTATAATAGCAATATTGCCAATTGTTGCCCCACAAATTCAGCATGGAATGGAACACAAACATCTTT